TTCTTCTTCTTCTTCTTCTTCTTCTTCTTCTTCTTCTTCTTCTTCTTCTTGAGACTAATATTTAAAAGAAGAAGAAAAGGAAGAAGACAACAACAATCACCGCGTGTCGGTAAACAATCCGGAACGTGGCTTAGATCCGATCTCGATCAATTATTTGCAGGAAGTTGTTAAAAGGAGAACAGCTTGGCCACATAAGGAAATAGTACAGACCTATACTCATATATATATATATATATGTTTTGCTGATATCAAAAAGAATATTGCTTGTAAGACTATTAACAGCTTCCTACGATAGGTACTTGCTTTCTTTTTCGTGGGATGACTTTTTTCTCTCATCTTATCAAATTTAATGATACTTCCATGTATAACTGTGCGCCTACATTTGTTTTTTATTATTTTATTTTTATTTTTATTTTTACAGGCGTTAGACGGTTTCCTGTTCGTCTTAAATAGCGAGGGACGAGTGGAATACGTAACGGATAACATTATTCAGTATATCAATTATACGAAGGACGATGTATTGGGAAAAGATATATATAATATTATACATCATGGAGACCACAACACCTTCATGCCTACGTTGTTGCCCATGTCATTAGGTAGTTATCTCAACAATGAAACGTGCTAATTTCACTTTTAGTCTGTAATTACATCGTTAGGATTGAATGAATATCGCATTAATTACCTCTATTTAACGATCAAATGAACATTTATTAATTCTTAAGAATTTATATTTTACATTATTTTTAATTCATATATATATATATATATATATTAGTAATAATTTCATTAAATGTAGAATAGGATCGGGGAAATAAAATAACTTCATGGTCGTGAGAAAGAGAGTTTAGGAGAGGGTTTATTAAGATCTTGAAATATATTTAATTTGATTTGTTACGATTGTTATTAGGCTGGACGAGCGAGCCGCAGCCTCAAGCGAGAAGTCGTACTTTCGTTTGCCGCTTCCTGGTAAAGCCTCCCGATGACAAAGACGAGACGATGGAGGAGAAGCAACAAAGGGTATCAAAATACGAGTCAATGCAAATCTGTTCGTCTCTTTTGACAAGTAATACCGAACGACTCGAGAGCGGTGATGTGTCCTCCGAATCCCCAGACGTTGGTGGTCCTTGCGTAATGTGCGTAGCACGTAGAATACCACCAAGCGACAAGTCCATAAATGTACCGATCGAACAATTCACTGTTAAATTGGATATTACGGGCAAAATCATCGCGGTCGATTTTAGTTGGTTGTCGTTGACTTATTCCAACTATCTGAGCAAGGTAAGGATATATAACACTTTTATTTCTTATATTACGCGACTATTATTACAAACGTGCCGAAATAGAAACTTGGCCATTTGTGTTTCACTTGAACTAATAGTCCTAGGGTTTATATTTATGCGATTACGTTTACTTATCTTATCATAGACATATCAGAAAAACAAATAACAAAAAAAGGATTTTCATCGTTTTGCAGAACATGATCGGTACGATGATAAAGGATTTGTGTCACCCTCATGATCTCAATAATTTAACTACACATTTGAACGATACGCTTCAAATTGGAGAGAGTATGAGCGCCGTTTATCGACTGCGCGTTAGCCCTGATAAGTTCCTTAATATACAAACGAAGTCGAAACTTTTCAAAGCGAATGTGATTAACGGCCACGAATCGGACTTCATGATGGCCACCTGTTCCATCATTGGGTAAGTCAATTTTTTTTAGTCGGGGTTTTTTTTTTATTTATTTCTATCGTATTTTATTGTAATCGACACACGACATTCGTGAACAATCCGAAATAAACCTCCTCCCCCACCGTTACTCCGAAATATTAAAACAACGTGCGAGAGACGATTCGAATTAAGAGAGAGAACTATACTGGCGTTAGGTGTTTCTTTTTTTTTCTTTTTATGTATACACTGGTTACATATTGTATGCACCACCAGTCTTTCATTTCTTTTATCTTGTTTAATGTAACTTTATCGTTAAATTGGGTATTCTTATATTCTACAAGATCTTTCTTTTTACCGTTTCTTATTTTAAACTCTACTCTCTATTTTATTCTCATTCGCGCGAAGAAATGATTTGCTTATCATACATTATTTAACACTTTTACCGTTGATTTTATGCCACGTTATTACGAAAGCTTTAGGAATGCAAAATTTCGTACTCGCATTATGTTATTGTTGTTTCTTATTCGATTAGACGGGAATGCATGAGGCGTACTTTGAAATTTTTTCGGTGTTGGAGATCTGGCCACTCTTGAAATTAAAATAACACTATTTCTAATATCACATTGCCTTTCCTACATTGTACGTAATATTACGTATATTTCTGCATCAATGATTAAACTAATTGTAACAAATATAGCACGATTCAACGCTCGCTTATTCCATTATATATCAATTTCATTTCATAAGATTCATTAGTGTTACAACCTGTTGACCATACAACCTGTCCAATGATCATTTTGAAAGATTACAAAAGCTGCTATGTTATCTGATCGATATGTAACATCTTATTCGTTCAAAAAATATGGTGTAATGTAACACAAGGATAGTCACACACGTGTAAAAACGCTCTTTATTCGTACGCACTTTCACGATGTACATATTACGTAATTAAAAGAAAAAAAAAACAAAATTTAAGCTAGATTGAAATTTCGCATTAATGAGCAGTGTACAGTATCGGTCAGAGTTTGTTCTCTCTTTTCAATCTGTATTGATTGTTCCAGGAAAGCATAGCAGATGGATTAAAATTTAGCTTGTTTAAAATAATATTTTTGTTTTGTTTTTTGAAAGAGACTTAATGACTGACATACACTGTTCACTGAAGGACGATAATGAAAATTGTATAACACATATACGCATATATATACTCGTATATTACGCATTCATTGCACATATCGTTAAGATCTAGCGTTAAAAATTGTAGCGTTAAAAGGTCTAGCGTTAAGAGATCTCTGGTGCTAACTGGCGATACATGTGTTTTGGTTTTTGTCCATGATAGGGACAATGACTTAACGCCTATCGAGGGTGGTCAGCTTTCCAACAACAAAGTGTGCTCGGGACATTCTAGTAACCGTTGTGCAAATAATAGTAATAATAATAATGGTAACAATAACAATAACGTGGGTGGTCTGTTGATGTCCGTGGCACATCTAAACGGTCAAGTGAGTGGTATCAGTGGTGGTCGTGAATTGACGGGGACGACGCACGTTGCTACGTCGTCAAACTCGATCGCCTTTAGTACCGGCGATTCTTGCAACTCATTAGCCTCGCTAACTACGAGTAATTCGTTCAACCACTTTTCCGGGAGCATGGACTTGGAATTCGAACCTTTCTTCCGCGGCTCGTCATGGGACTTGGACGGTAGCGGTGGTTGGCCGGAAAGGCCCGAGTCGAGAGGAAGCGGGCCAACAGATTCGCGACCACCCTCTCAGCCAGCCCCGACATCGCCGAGTCCCCAGGGAGGAGGAACCTTTTCCTCTAATTCAGCGGTGCCGTCTCACTGTAGTCCCCTACGCGCTTTCAGCCCGTCCTCTTCGGTCAACGCAGCGCACACCTTCAGTAATTCCTTCCCGTTCAGTCCACTACAGGAATCGCAGTCATCCTCGACGTTGACTGGTAACAACGCTGCTGCAGCTGCGGCTGCCGCTGCTGCTGCGGCCGCGGCTGCTGCCTCGGCTGGCAACAACAACACCCCTGTCAACAACAACACCAATGTCAATACCAACGGTGCTACTTCGGTAGCCGTTGCTGCTGCCGCTGCTGCTACAGCACCGGTCATTTTACCAGCTCTCAATGCTAAGAGGATCGAGGAAGGAAAAAGTGGATGTCCTACCAGCGGTACCATGGACAATGCAACTGCCAGGACGAATGCCTCAACGCCCGCCGAAACTCAAAACAGTGTCGTGTCCACTGAATCTGTTAGACTTAGAAACTTGTTAACGAAAGGCTCCAGTGCTAGTGAGGATAATCAGGACAATACGAATAACGATTCAGATAACCAAAATAAACACAGGATATTGAAAATTTTGTTGAATCAGCAAGACGAAGATGATTATCATTCTGAACACAACAACAAAATGAGAACAAGTCCTAGTAACATGCCAAAATCGAATATGGAGCATTCCAAAAACACTCTTGGAAATCATATGCTTCTACAGGTGATTTTCTTCATTTCTATCTTTTATCCTAACCTTTCAAATAAATCAATTATTTCTTTTTATATCTTTAAGCAAAGTAGATTTTAAGATGCGCGCATTTCTTTCTTCTTCTTCTTTAGAGTAAATATTAAAGATCTTTATATTTAAAGTTACTAAATGATACAAATGACGAGGATGAGGAAGCCCGAGCTGGATTGAAAAAGAGAAATGAACTTCTTCAACAGTTATTAAAAGATCAAGATGAAGAGAGAAAAATACAAGAACAACAACAGGTACATCTTTTCGAAGAATACTCACATCTTTTTGAAGAATAGTAAAGTTATAAGAATTGATTTATTAAATTAGCGTAACTATTTTACTAAAGTGCCTTTCCTTTCATTATATTATTAGAGCCGGGATGACGATCCTCTATTACGGAGTCTTGGTTTTCGGAATAGCACTCCTTCACCATCGCAATCAGGAAGTGATCATAGTGGACTCGGTAGTACTCAAGTCGGCCAGAAAAGACCAGGCGACGATGGTGATCTCAATATATCCGTTAAACGACCAATGGATGGCTCGCATCAGGTGTCTTCTTCGGGTACTAACGCTTCGACGAATGCGACAAGTAAATTATGGGAAAAAAATAAAATGCTAGCTTCGTTGTTGGCAAAACAACCACCTCAACCAACGACCATACCACCTATTCCTGCATCTGTGATATCGGCAACGCCGCAAGTAAGTACCAGAGATATTCTAGTTTCGTATAATATTAGACTGGAAACGGCAACATGAATAATGTCTACTAACGTAACCGATACATATGTACACTTTACTTTTAGGATAAGCTTCCACGCGGTAGTACTGGTGGCGATCGCTTAAAGCAACATCAGTCGCAACAGCAGCAACAACAACAGCAACAGCAGCAACAACAGCAGCAACAACAACAGCAACAACAACAACAACAACAGCAGCAACAACAACAGCAACAGCAACAACAACAACCGTGGACTGGTGGCCACATACAAACAGTTGGTGGGAATAATACGATCACAACAACGGCTACTTCGGCTCGTACTCCTCTGCAAAACCAATCAAGACAACTACCTCGTCAAGCAACCAGCAACACCTACCTCACTCACATGCTAAGTCAGGTAATTTTCCAAAATTTAAAAAAAAATTCATAGATTTTTATCAATGTTCACTAATATTCTCTTTATTTTAATATTTTCAATAAATAGCAACAAAGGCCACAATTGGGTCAAGTGGATTCGGAATTTGGAGATAGCGGAGAATATCGTCAATCGTGTACCGACCCAAGTACTTGGGATAATCAATCGTCCGACCCAGATCTCTCTGAGATTTTGGATCAAGTTATTGAATTTGTTCCGGACGAACCTATCTCAGGTAATTATTTATCACTGTACCGAGAGAATTTATTTAGCGTTGAACAAGATCTAAAGATACTTTATCCGTACATTTTCGCTATTGCGACAATGACATTGTAATAATGCATTTTTATATATGTTGAGCTCATTTTTTATGCGTAGTAACGAAAGTATTACTAACATAAATATCAGGTGTACCAGAAAGTCATTACCGGTTTTTTCGGGAAAAAACCACGAAATTTTCAGGAAAATGGAAAAAATTGATGGCTAATCGTTTCTTGGGCTACATTTAACGCTTCTGCCAATTGTTTTTGAGTTTGGGCTGGGTCTTCATCCTATAACTCCTGCAGTTTCGCATTTTTTACTTTTTCGGTCCACCAGAACCGTTCTTTGTCTTGCACATCGAAATCACCTCTTTTGAATTTTCGAAACCACGCTTCACAAGTTTTTAAGATTAGAGCATGCTCACCGTAAGTTTCTACCAGCAAAAGATGACTTTCAGCGGCTTTTTTCTTTTAATTAAGGGTTCATTCTGGTTCTTACGCCGAAAAAAAAGGCTATTTTCACGATTTTTTTTTAGGCTTCGTAGGATACATATACAAATGAAAGTTGTTGGGTATGATAAATACACTCTAGAAGTACGAGAAAAAAATTTTTTTTTATTGTTTTTAACATATTTTGACATTCAAAATGGCTGACAAACGTGAACCCTTAAAACGTAGGTATGCTGTTTGCGGGCATCGAAATTTGAGAACGGTTGGTCTAAAACAAAAAAATTAAACGGTTTTAAATTCAGTATGACAATGACTATCGGGTATGCTACAACTATCAATTTTTATGAAAACAAAACAAAATGACGGCCATTTTTCGAAAAATAAAAAAATCGTTGATTTTTTTCGTACTTTTTTACAAAAAAAATATAGTAAAAATTAATATTTTGACTTGGTTGTAGCATGCGAGATAGCCATTCATGTGTAGAGTATGTGGTTAAAATTTCAGAAGGATCGGTTGAGTAGTTTCGGAGATATCATGCCCGCCAACCGAAAAAACGTTGTTTCGAGAAAAACGCGTTTAAAGTTTTTTCACAAAATTTTTAAAAAGTCTGACTTTACCTTATTCTGCGATGCCTGCACCATACAGTATGCCTTCTGCTTCTTCAAAATACTCATTCTCTCTTCTTCTACTCTAGCCTTTTTTCGTTGTGTCCTGGCCTCTTTTAAAGATTCTCCGCTCAAACGATTGGCTGAGCGCACGCGCGTGTTGTCGCGGTTACTAGCGTAATTGACTGCGATAGGGCCAAGTTTTGTCCCCAAAACGTGCATTATTTTCAGTATTGGATCAAAACCTTCGTTGAATATACAAGCTGCCAATTTAGAAGTTATTTCAACAATTTTTTTTTACCATTAAATAGGTGTTTAGGCACCATAGCCCAAACGCATTTGTTGAAGCACTCATTATTGTTTTGAGTGTGGCCACCTAAACATCTTTCAAGTAATTCTGTTTTTGTCAGGTCAACATCAACCTTTTGTTTTTTGCAGCTATATTCATGCAGAGACATTTTCCACTTACACAACCGCAGATGGTTTGTCTCCTCTATCTGTAATATCTCTATGTGTTTGGGTCGCAAAATAATATACTTAAACTGCTCGGATCGTTCTAAAATTTTTGTATGATAATTCTACATATGTCTACTTTCGAAAAATGCAAAAATATAAAAATTGATTTTTTCAAAATGATAAACCAGAATGAACCCTTAAATAAGAAAAGTAATGCGTGCCGCGAATGCACGTTTTCAGGCATGAAACTTGACATTTTCAAAGAGGTATAAATCTATGACGTGTTACTTTCGCAAAGTGTAACCCATATAGCTTTTGAAGCTTGATATCAGCAGAATAAAATGACATATGTGTCAAATCATAACATTGCATACTCCAGCATAACGACATCTATTAGAAAAACCAGTAATGACTTTCCGGTACACCTAAATCTTGTAATATTGATTCAATAGAATCGTCTGCGTTAACAAATCTCCTGGACGTTATTGAGGCACCGCAAAACAATGCTATGAATGAAAAAATGGCAATAAATGCTATTCAGAAGTCGTTGATGTTATGCGAAACTGCCGTAAATCCAACGTCTTCCACCATAACCATACCTGGCACGCCTCCTGCGTATTCCACTGCAGTAAGTTTACGTGCTCGTTTATAATTGTGTCTTTTAATATTATTTTGTACTTGATCTAAACACAATTAAATTGTCAATTTTAGTTGGTAACGACACCCGTGACGACCAGTCACAGTTACCAACCACCTCCAATGTATCAACAACAAGCAAGGATGAGGTTCAATGCTCAATTGGTCGTTAGGCAGACTGCCACGCAGTTTACGCAACAGCAGCTTCAATTACAACAGCGTACTAAAATGATACAACAGCAACAACAACAACAACAATTGAAGCAAAGATTACTGCAGCAACAACAGCAGCAACAATTGCTCATCCCATCTAATGCAACGGCGACAGACCAAATTACAACAGGCATACACAATATTGATAATCTATTAAATAATACTGTTGCGCCGAATGTATCTTTACAGGTACCCTTTGTAATCTAAATTTTCTTTCACGATTTAATACAAAATTGAATTTAAAGATTAATCGATCATTTATTTTATTATTGCAGCGATCGAGCGTCCCTGACTCCCAAGTATCTCCGAGTTATGGGGGATCCGTCCAGATTAGTTCCGGTCACCGAATCGCTCATTCGTATTCTCACCCATCGACGTTACCACAACAGTGAGTATTTCCATTCCTTTCTTTTTTCTTTTCTTTTTTAACCCTTATCGGTTGCTAGCTTTTCATACGTGATTCCCATTAGGTCATAGCTGGTTTCGGTAAATATGCGAAATCTCTTTTAATCAAAAAAACATTTTTATTAGATATTATTTACATATTTTATACTTATTTTTTGAAGGTGTATTACAAATATATCAGTTTAAAAAAAATTATTTATATGTTTTTAACGTGTGATATTTTTTGAAACAATCTCCAACATGAAGGAATGGTTTTCTCTTGCACGTTTCACAGAAGTATACCGTTGTTCTTCTTCCTCCAGGCAACTTACGATTCAAACATACTAAACAATCGTTATGTTTCCCTTTAGCATCAGATTGTAAGATATGTACTTTTCCATCTAATCTATCTTCATTATCTATAGTTGATGGCTTTCCATATCGCAAAGTCTTACCTTCACGGAAATTCCCAATTAGAGACATAACTACTTCTCGAATAAATTTTATATGAGACATTAGTTTACTGTTGTTATGTTTACAATCAGCTTTATACAGAATATAAGAATTCAAGGAGGATACTTTAATTCCCCAGAAAAAAACTTTCCGCCACCATTTTAATGTTTTGCGTAAAAAACAATACATAGATCCAAATTAATCTGCGCGGTCCACTCCGCCCATAAATTTGTTATAATTCAAAATTACTTTAGGTTTCTTAAGTTCTACGCGATTGCCACCACGTGTTATTCTTGATACAGTTTTCATTGATCCAGTATCATATGAACTCAGTACGGTAATAATTCGTTTGTCTCGCCATGATAAAGCTAACAACTTACTTTTTCTTGAACGGAATCTGATAACAGTCCTAATTTTAGAAGTCGGTTTTCTTATTTGTCTTGGCAGAAATTTTCTATTACTTCTTATTGTACTCGTTAAATAGCATTTCATTTTAAGCAGTTCTTCAGCCAGTGGAACACTGGTATAGTATCTGTCGACATAAAGATGATATCCTTCGGAATTAGGGATTGATTCGAGCAGATTTTTGTACAAATGCAAAACGATCCTTGCATTGACAGGAAGTTCGGGATGAATTAAAGATTCCGACGTAACAGATCCAAAATAGGGCAATATCGAATACACATATCCCGTATTTGAATCTGCCAAAACATATATTCGTATTCCCCACTTAGTTGGCTTATTGGGGCTGTAAGTTAAACAACTGAATCTTCCTTTGAACGGTACTACAGCTTCATCCACACATATTTCTTTTCCGGGAACAAAGTTTTGTCTAAACTTTGAATCAATGTAATTGAAAAAGCTTTTGACTTTCGAAAATCTTGTTTTTCGATAGCTATTATTCTTTATGTCTTGATGTAAATGGAGCATCCAGAAAATTTGAAAAAAACGCTCCTTCTTAAAAATCTTAGAGAAAAATGGCATATTGCACGTGAAGTCTTTGGAAAAATAATCTTTTATGTCACTTAAATAAACTGTACCCATATTCAAAATCACACCAAAAAATGCAAGAATTTCGTCATACGAAACGTTATTCCAATTTTTCCAAACTGATCTGACGGAAAATTCTTTCTTTGCAATTTGCTCGTTCGCATATGAGTTTGTTTGCGTTATAATTTCCGTTATGAGTTTGTTAGTAATAAATTTTTTGAAATAATCTATAGGCTGCTGCACATTTCCAAAAATTTGGCGATTGATATTTGTAAAAGGAATCCTACTAGGAAGATCATCATCATCACTGTCGACTTCAATCCAATCATCGTCTAAGTTATCAACATTTTCTAATTTTACATCATATTCTTCGTCACTTGAATATTTTAAGGGCATAACTTTTCTTTTCTTATGATGCAATAAGATCGGACTGCTAGTCTCATCACTAGATTGAACATCACATTCAGAACTGCTTTCGAAATTTTCATTGCTATCATCACTATCGAAATTTCTATTATTTTCTTTATTCATTTTTGGGCTTAATATATTGAAAATTAAGTGCAAAAAACAGTGATATGTCAGTGAAGAAGTCAATTGTTCTGTTACTGATACTTAACTCACAAGTCAATCGTGCGCGCATTTCATAAAACGCGAATTTTGATTGGTTCGATCGTTGTCACCTCCCACGTGACGTGCGACCGCAGCGCCAAAGTATTGTTGTCACGTGACAGGTGACTTACGACCGTTAAGGGTTAATCTAATCAATATTATTTTGATCTCAATCAGTTATACATGACGAATCTTTCTCTTTATATAGTCCCATTGTGAATAATAATTTTAACAGCGGTCAACAAGTGTCAGCAGCTGCGAGACTCTCGCCGCATTCTCCTGCCAATATATTGTCCTTTTCTCATCCGCAACCATTATCACCTCGAGTAGCGCCAGTAAGTTATTTTCTTTTTAGTTTCTATCGCCGTATCAACATCGTCTCGATCTATTGTGCATTATTATATTTGTGATGTAGACCACTTATGGCACCACTCCGAGGCTATTTAACGTTAACCAGGTGAGATCTCAACAACAACCAACCGCGCAACAACAACTTCAGCAACAGCAGAGGTCGATGCCATCGCCTGGAACACCAGCCTCTGCAAGGCAATCTCCGTTTCCCGCCGAAACATTTCCCCCACCTACATCTCCTACAGCTAGCCAATTTCCACCTGGTCCAAATCCTGGTGCTCCTAACCCTACTGCTCAGTATCGCTTGCAACGGACTACATCGACGCCTTCTGCCACAACTCAGTTGCCAGGTAAAAAACTATAATCAATTAACAATCGCGTACTCGTTTTTTTTTATTATTCATATATATGTATACATATACATCAGTATATATTTTAAACATTGTTGTTTTGTTCCATTTTTATCCATATCGATACGATTTTCGTTTGCCCTGATGTGTTCATCAGGGATATGTCTAATGATGAAATGTATGTAGGTTGACGAGCGAAGATGTGTGCCGCCTCTTTTAGATGTTTTATTATACAGTGTATATTTCATATTGACGTATTCGTAATAAAGTTATGTTAGTAGACTCCGGGTAACGCGAGTAATCTGGTTCTTTGTAAAAAATTTTTTTCTTTTTCTTTTTCTTTCAAGTTGTGTATTTCTTTTCTTCATCTTTTTCTCCTTCCTTCTATTTTTTTTTTTCTTTCCTCTTCGGCTCTTTTTTTTTTTCAATTTCTCCCGGTTCCACCTTCTTGGAATTATTTTTACGTTGAAAGTGCAACGAGTGCGTTTCTAAGAGTGATGTAATTTTCTTCGTACTAAGACGAAGTGTATCTATGGTCTCAATTTACGAAGATGTGTTCGTGATGAATTAAATGATATGTACTGTGTCAAAACTATCGTCGTTATAAGAGCTTCGTTGTGAGTAATTGATGCATTCTATATACACATTTTACATCTTCTTGTTTGGAAATTCATGAAATTTAGATCATAGTTTAAGAGATGTTGCTTTTTCTTTTTTTTTTCTTTTTTTTTTTTTATCTACTACTCAGTGAATTATACTACATGGAAGATAATAGCACGTCTTGATTAATTCTGTATGATTTGACTATACAGAAAAATATGCAATTTGTACAAATAACGATAATGTAAACGCTATTATATATTCAAAACGAAACATGTGAACGGAGTATTATAGATCATTTTCTAAGGGGTAAGTATATCACTCTTCTAAATAAATACTTTTAATAATTTATCAATTATCATTGGATTTGATATAGAATCATGAATATATATAGATATACATATAAATCTATATATGTGTTCATGATTTCATTAATCATATAAGATTTAAATACAGAGAAGAGAAGGTATTTTTATATAATGTAATTTAATGACTGAAAGTCATTAAAATAAAATAAATGAAATTTTATGAAAGATTGAAAAAAAAAATAATATATGTATGTGAAAAGATTGAATAATAATCCATTTCTATGCATCCCAATTTAGCGATTGATCAAAGTTACATACTGTTTAAGTTGAAGTAAAATGGCAAGAAGATAGACATAATGAATGTTGCAGGTGGGGTTGGTTCGCCCCGACACTATGGCGGAGTGAATAAGGAACAACCTCTTCTTTCACCTAGTCATCCACACTCGGGTTGCCCTGCAGCACCGACTCATAATCCACACAATGCCACCAATACCCAACACTTCTCGAATCAACAACATTCTTCTATGATATACCACACGAGCGCCAACACTATCAACACACCAGACATGCAGAACAATCAGTTCTGTTACGATCGGACGTCCGTACCGCTCTATTCTTCTGGGGATACGCAGGATGTCAGGTCACTGCCTCCCGGTAATCCTGTCAATCACCACATGGGTGGTAAGTCATATGACCTCTTAATGTCATGTGACCATCACTTCGCCATCATTACACACCTTACTTAAAAATAATGTACCACTGGGAGGTGTACCAGGCATGAGATTGGTACATGGAAGCACATCATTCTTTCACGACACCCATTCCAGGCATTCAAATTGTACATATCGCAATCGTTTTTGAGATAATCGCTATGATCACGAGTCAGTCAATGTATTTTGTCTTAACGCCAATATTCCAATCTTCTTTCCTATGTCAAAATAATATCTATTTATTACGGCCGAAAAAAAAGTGTCTTCGTGAACAACTTTATTCATGTTTAACAATGTTTATAAAATCGTGATTGAGAAAGATCGCTTGATTGTTAATTATGTCATAGCGTTGTAACGCTATGTTTCGTACATTCGGTTATTTATTTTTGTTTTTTTTTTTTTTTAATTTGAAAAATATGCTTTTCCAATATCTATCGTGATACTTTTTTTTTTCTTCGCGAAAGTGATCCTATATTTTATAACAATCTTATTAATTTATATTCAATTAAAATCTAAATGTGAAGTTTATCTTGAGAAATAGCGTTTTTATGTACGAAACAAAGCATTATATTGGCCGCCAAAAAATCGTGTAACAAGATTTGCTTTCGCATCCATACTCGTTCCAAAGTTTCTAAGCTTTATCATTCATTTATTTGGCTATTTCATAAAATACATTCTAACTACGTTGTAAATAATATATCATCATTTTCAATAGTAATTTCAACGGATAACGCTCTTGCGAATATGTAATCCCCCTCCCCCAAAGTTTCTAGGTCATTTGGAATGATAATTAAACGATACTCCTATCACTTTGTATTAAGAAGCATACTCTCTCTCTTTCTCTCTCTTTTCTCTCTTTCTCTTTCTTTCTCCCCCCCCCCTCTTGTCTTATAGCGCATGATGCACCGCTATGAAGTTTTTGAACAAACATTTAGTATATAATCGAACACGTCGACATTCCAAAATAAGATCTTAGTTATTGAGGGATGATTATTGCCTGTACAATGCATTTTTATGTCACGAAATATTATATATACATATATATATATTCTAGGTCATTTCTCTTATATCCCATTGATAGTAGATACCGTAGTGTAATTACACTGTGCTTTTGTAAATACCTCAGCACCAATTATATCTTCGAAACACCTTCGCATCGTATATTATTCTCTTGCACTATTTTCAAGAACGTTATAGTTATTATCATTTCAATGAAAGATGCTGAGGTTTCTTATTTAATTAGTAAGTTCTTTATAATTGTAGACAATATAAAGGGTTTATTACGGAAGCCTTAACTAAAGTTTTGGTATGCTTCTAATATATCAAGAAACACTAATAGCGTTTCGTCTCATTAATTTTCATCCTGTATCGTGGATCTATATTCATAACTCTTTCATAAATCATATTCTTCTAATCTCTCCGAGAAAAAGAGAAAGAGAAAAAGAAAGAAAGAGAGAAAGAGATTAGAGATTATTTTTTTTTCTATACATTGTTTTAATCTAATGAGTGAGATATGGATATAGACCATTTATTCTTCGTGTGCTCGTGATTTAACGCATCGTGACTATAGTTGGGCCGATGTACATTTATATATTCTCTTTTATATACGAATATTATACATATATTTATTATTATTATATATAATGTTAACCCTTAAAGTGCATACTTTTTAAAATTACGTTAAAGTGCACTGTGGGTGTTTGACACCCCAACGTTTTTGAACGTGTCTTCTGAAGCCGCTATTTAATATTTGAGCCGTTTATTTTGAAAGTGGCCTAAGTCCATTTTCCAAAAAAATCGAGTTAGTTACCGTAATAGTTACATTTTTACATGATCTTTTTATTCTGGAGCAATTTGTTACAAATATAATTAAAATTATAAAGATTTTGTAACAAGAAAATTTGCCGATCAACGGAATGATGAAAAATTTATTTTCAAAGTGGCCTAACTCCATTTGTCAAGTATTATTTTCCGATTGCACGTGGTTATTATACAACTTCATGTTATGTATCAATAAAACATTTGAGGTTGCTTATATTCCAAGTAAATATGATAATACTTTATTGTAAATAAAATGAGACAAAAAGATTTTGTATGAACAAAATTATTAGAAGCAATTTTTAAAAGGGTAAAGAATTCTGATGAAGAATCAATAAACTGGTTAAAAATATGTTGGGTGCGTTTTGTCAGAAATGAACCATATAAAATTTTCTATAAGACATCAATGAATGAGAATGAAAATTTTAAAATCCTGAATTTATTACCACGTTGAGGTAGACCAAAAAAGTTCGAATGTATTGTATTGACACCACTATATAAAATATCAGACAAATTACAACAGTAAAATTCAAGGACATAATTGATCTATTACGATATATACCATCGGAACATCATGATTTCTTCAAATCCCTTTCACACACAAAATATAGATGAGTAGTAAATTGTTTTGTAATAAATTTATGTTTGTAATTTTGTACGTTATGTAGTTAAAAAATGTTTGGAATCGCATAAATTATGTATCTGAAATATTTTAAAGATATGTAAAATAAATTGAGTATTGTTTTTTTCAATTTGAAGCATCTTAAATTAGGTTGAATGGAGTTAAGTCCCTTTGAAATTGTATAACAAATCAAATTGTTGATTTTGACAGTGGCCTAACTCCATTCGTGATTAGAAAACGCATATTAATTACTTAATAATTGCCACTATTTTAATAGAAAATATAAATTTGAAACCTTTAGATACACTTAAGCAGTATAACTCGTTAATATCTTGTACGTATATTTTTCATTGCATTGAAATGCAAACCCTTCAATATCTCAATTCGAACATAAATGGAGTTTGGCTACTTTCAAAATAAACGGCTCATTTAGACCTCGCATTTTTTTTAAAAGTAGTTTCATACATCTTTCTTAAAATAGAATAGATTTTATACCCATCTGAATTAACACTAGATGGCAACAAATAACCCATTTTTTCGAATTCAGTACCGTTTTCGAGAGATCAAAAATTTGTTGGGGTATCAAACACCAAGTGTGCACTTTTAAGGATTAATAATGATATTAAACAAATATATTATCAGGGAATATAGAATGATATCGGCTTAACTTTGTGCATATGAAATCATATTATTAATGGAAACAGCAATGCAAGAGGTTCATCCGAAAGATATGTATATCATCATATATTCATCCTGCCATTATTCTCCTGTGTTCACCTATGTACAGTAACGCTTTGATGTAAAACCAGTAATCTTAAGTATCACTTTATAATATAAGCACGGTGGAAAAGATTTACTAACGACGAGGAGGTTTATATGTCCTTATTAATTATATGTTAGAAAAACGTCACAAGGAAAACAAATTTAATAAGATTTTTTTTACAAAATATTTTCTCTCATGTAATTTGTATTTGATATCAAATCTTTCTAATAATTTTCTTTTTATTTTTCTTAGTATTGAATTTAAGAAATTATAGTTGCGAAAAAAAAAGTATCGTCACGTATGAGACATAATATTATGTTCAACGCGTGTTATTAACACAAATAATAGAAAATTGAAATTAAACTCTGAAAGTATTTCTAAAATTTAATGGGGGACAAAAAAGAAAGAACAAATAGGATCGATGTTATAGATGTTAACAAAATGTAAATATATCCCGTTGTGTAATAAAAAAAAACAATACCCTGTTCCTTAATCGATTTACAGGAAAATGTTAATACTTTCCACATAGAGGAAGTGCATTGTTTATTTAGCCATCTGTAAGACATTCTCTGCACGATCCTTTACATTATATTTATTTATTTTTGAAGAAAGGTATAAGGGTAATTAAGATTACGACCTAATTGACATGCATACAACAATAATATTCTTTCTATTTTATGTTTTTTCTTTCCCTTTTAAATAGAACCCAATTGTTCTAACGGTAAACCAAACCAAACCAAACAAAAAAAAAGATAAAAATGTTTTTATCATTTAACATTGATCCAGGGGTAAAATTAATGAAAGGAATTGATTTTGTCGCAGGTAACACAAGTACAACTGGCGGTGTGAACGAATACGTTCGGCAAGAATTAAGGGCTATAGTTAATTCAAGAACGCAACAACAGCAACCGCAACAACAGCAACAACAACAACAACAACAAAGGGTACCCAACAATATTCCTAACAATCTTTCTGCTCAAGTTTCTCAGGACGATTTGGAAGCACTTGGTTTGACATTTGAAATGTCCACTGCAGGTATGAATGATTAATAAGACATTTTATTCTCTCGATCTGGTTTCATTTCACATTCGTAGGATTGTACAATTTAGTAGTAGGTTTGAGATAAAAGATCTTTTTCGTAAAACACGTTCTCGCACTTTCTTACGTTTTACTTTTTCGTTAGGAATTTTTTGAATGGAATGATATTACCACAATCTTTTTTTATTTCTCCATATTATTACTGGAAGGGTGAAATCGATTTTCTACGTGTTGCGTATTAGGAATAACAAACAAATAAAATTAATTTTTTTACTTCGTTTTTTTTTACACACATTCACAATGGCTTGTAGGAAGATTGTGCAATGAATATACACACACTGATCTTTTTATTGTAATTTATTCTCATTGTCATTGTAACTAATAATTTTAAATACTGTGAAAAAGTATTACAGGCAGTTGTAATGATTAAAGAAATAACCCAATTTTATGGGGTCAAGGTATACAAAATTCTTTAAATTATTGATTCGAATTTCAAGTGATAGAAAAGTTATTCTTTTAATATTGTTTTTTTTACTTTAAATCTATATATATATATATTTATCTATACTTACATCCTTTCATGCATGCAAATAGGACACACACACACATAAGAGTTTGATATTATTATTATTATTATTGTTATTATTATGTATCCTTGTATTATTGAATATTGTAGTCATCGAATTGAATTTATTAACGCGTCATATAACCAAAAAAAAAACTTTTACAGTATAAGTTTGATTAGAAAGGCATATAATAATATTGAAATTGAAGTAACTTGTGGTAACGCGTGATGTTACAATGTCCCAACTAGGTGAGACTGTGGTTAATGATGGCCCCGCCAAGAGCTGGGCCATTGGGAGTACCGGAAGTGCCCCCTCATCCTCCAGGGTAAGACCCTTCCGACAATTACTCGTACTTTGATTTTTATTTATGCTATGACTCTACCCTCCTCTTTATGCTTTGCTTCAAAACTGTATTCGCTGCACGATATATATACATGTATAAAAGTATATATATTAGGGTGGGTCAAAAAAATCAATTATTTTTTTTTTACAAGTGCCACGGAAAAATGGATTGCTAGACACCTTAAAACAATTCTCACCAAATATGAGCTCTTAATTTTAATAGGAAGATCCTCCGCATCACAGTTTT